AACTAACTTTTGCAGTCGGAATTTGATTAAACATGTAATCAAGGTTCATTAGTAATTAACAGTGATTGGAATGCAAAAGCTGGAAAAAGCAGTTGAAAAATAATGACCATAGTGATAGAAAACACATTGGAAATAAAATGATAGAATTTGGCAATGAGCTATTTATTGGAAATATCTGTAAAATGGAGACATACTAGTGAAACTTACTAGATGGAATATACAGGAATCAAAGTGGCTCTGCTCATGGAAAGAGAATCACAGTACCCTTAAAGGACACAGTAGAATTGTTGTGGTGGGTTTCCAAGACTACATGTTTATGAAAATAGAAAGCCTCATCTTTCTCTGAGTGGCTGGTGAATTCAAACTGTTGACCTTGTGGTTATCATCCCTAAGCATAATTCACTACACTCTGAGGGTCCCTATGACTTGGAATTGACTAGATGACAGCGATTTTTTTGAGAATGGAAAAGGACAATGGAGCTTAATATCATCAGTCAGAATAATACGAGCACCAACTGCAAAATTGCTCATAGACAGTGCAGATTGAAGCTGAAGAAAATTAAAGTGAGTCAACATTAGGCAAAATATAACTGTGAGTATACCCCACCTTAATTGAGACCATCTCGAGAGTAGATTTGATGCACTGACCAATAATAACTGAACTACATCAGATGAGTTGTGGAATGACTTCAAGAATATGATACATGATGCCAGGGGCTTAGGTGGAGAGCAAATGTTTTGAGAATGATGAGGGCAATGAATGTACAAATGTGCTTTATACAATTGATGTATGTATGGATTGTGATAAGAGCTGTATGAGCCCTTAATAAAATGATTAAAAAAGAGAGAATAAATTGGCTACAGGAAACACATATGATAAAGGTTTCTACAGTCATAAAAGGGTTATAAAAAAAGAATATGATACATGAAGAAAGCAAAAGGTCATTAAAACAATGGAAAGAAAAGACCAAAATGTATGTCAGAGTAGATAGAAACATACTCTTACAGGGGTCCTCAAACTTTTAAAACAGGGGGCTAGTTCGCTGTCCCCCAGGCCTGTTGGAGGGCCAGACAATAGTAAAAAAAAAAAAGGTGAACAAATTCCTATGCACACTGCACATTACTTATTTTGAAGTGAAAAATCAAATGGGGCAAAACCACCAGGCAGGCTGGATAAATGTCCTCGGCGGGCCCAAGGGCCATAGTTTGAGGATGCCTGCATCTTGAATGTAGAGAAGCTAAAGTGAAAAGAAGAAAGGATGAAGTGAAAGAGCTGAAGAGAAAAGTCCTAAGAGTGGTTCAAGAAGACAAAGTGCAGCATTGTAGTGAAATGTGCAAACACCTGGAGTTAGAAAGGCGGGAAGGGAGAATACAAGCTGTTCAGCATATCCCAAGCTGAAGGAATGGAAGAAAAAACTTCAAGCCTTCAGTTGTAAGCCTTGTTTGAGGGATAGTTTGGGCAAAACATTTGATGTGGGAAATTAAATTAATAGGGAAGGAATACACAGAAGGACTCTACAAAAGGACATGTTAAATGTACAACTACTTCAAAAGATGGAAGATGATAAAACACCAATGGTAATAATAAAGGAAGAAGTTCTAGCTGCGTGGAAGGAATTGCCTGTGTCAGGGGTGTAGCTTTTCACCAAACTGGTTCAATCTTTGTCCTAACCAAATATTCTGAGATGCGGGACTATAGGACGCGCATAGCATCAGGTTGTGTCAGATGACACAACCTTGCTTTCTGAAAGGACTTGAAGCAACGACTGGTGAAGATCAAAGACTACGGTCTTCAAGATAGTTTACACCTTAATATAAAGAAAACAAAAACCCCTCACAAGTAAACCAATAATCAGCAGCACAAAAAATGGAGAAAAGTTTGAAGTTGTCAAGGATTTCATTTTACTCTATGACACCTAACAATAACATATTATTGTTACAGTCTTTTTTAATGTTTAAATTGCTTTTAAAACGAATTGTATATACATCACTACAATTAGTTCTAGTGTTCCCTCCCCGCTCCTGCATTCATTGTTTGCTCCCCGATTCCCTTCACTCTCTCCACCCCGCTTCTCCTTCGACATTTCCCAGTAAACCGTTGCATTGGTTCTTGTCTCCATGCATCCATTCCTTCTGTGCTTTACAACCTGGGAAACCCAAGAAAAATGATAAGAAACAAAGCCAAGCCAAACTGGCAAGAAGAAAATAATAATACAAAGATAAAAATATAAATAAAGCATAATAATGAAAAGACCGCCACTGATATTTAGAAGGCCGGAGAAGAAATTTCTTTTCTGGAACAGTTGAGAAATACTTGCACACAGAGCAAATTCAGGCTGGGTCAAGAGGGAGGTCAACTGACCAAGTATCATATTATACCATGAATCATCTGATTGGATCCACCATAATTAACTTTAGAAAAACAACAACAACAACAAAGAAACAAAAAAAGAAAAACATTGTTAATCATCCCCCCTGGGGTATAAGGCGATTACATTGAAAGCATCAATAATTTTTCCAGTGACAAAGAATTTAAGATACTGTTGATATGGGGAGTTTATGGGAGTACAATCCAACTGCAGGCCACAATCCATGAGTTGCTGCTTTGTACAGCTTCATTTCTGAATTGATTGACATCTGCTTACAGTGAACAGGGGGAACGGTGGTAGGGGGAATTTTCCTGTGTCAATTCTTACAGGAGCAGACCCTTGCCTAACAGATTATAACCTATTAGGTCAATTCAAGGGGAGCATTGAGGTATTAAATATATTGTGGTTCTGTGTTCCCTTTCATTGGCCATCCACTAAGCCACCAAAGGTTTAATGACAGTCATTTCCACAGTCTTGGGGAGGCCACCCTTTGATTCCTCTCCCATCAGAGTATTTCAGTCCTAAACCCAAGGGTGCAGGCCGTTTTGAGGTAGAGCTCAGTTCATTCAGTCGGGCTTCTATGTTGTGTTCTTCGGGGTTGGCCCTTGGGGATGCTATGTTGCCTCTGAGACCAGTGTCTAAAGTCATCAAGGTGCTCAGTCCATGGTGTGGTTCTCTGAGGGTTGGGTAGAAACGTGTTGTTATTAATGTCTTTAAAGTAGACATGTTTGGCCTGTTTTGTCATTGGGTGCTCTGGAGTCATTTTCAATTCATGTTATTGTTGTTAGGTGTTGGTTCTTATTTATTGTGACCCTATATACAACCAACCAAAACACTGCCCCAACCTGCACCAGGTTCACAACAGTTGTTAGACTTGCCCATTGTTACAGCCACTGTGTCAATCCATCTCATCTTGATTCATGTACAGATTCGGCATGAGCACAATGAAGTGTTCAGGGATTTCCATTCTTTTAAATATCGTCACTAGTTGATTATGATCCGCACAGTTGAATGTCTTTTTACAATCAATAAAACACAAGTAAACATCTTTTCCTGGTATTCCCTATGTACAACAGAATAGAATGTTCCCTGGTCCTCTACCATACTCACAATTGTTATTTTGAATTTCATAGTTGTAGCCACTGTGTCAATCCATCTCGTTAATGGTCATCTTCTTTCCAGATGACCTCTGTCAAGCATGTCTTTTCTCAGGGACTGGTCTCTCCTGACAATACAGCCACAGTTGAGGAGATGCAGCCTTACTTCGAAAGAGCGCTCCCGCTGTACTTCTTCTGTGGTCCCACCAAAGTGTTGGTAGTTGTACCCTCAGAAACACTAAGGAGCAGATTTCCTCTGTCTGAAAAGGTTGCCATAGTTTGGAATTGACTTGATGGTCGTAGACTTGGTTTGTTCTAAATTAAAATCAAAATCCTAGATTTTGCCATGACAGACCTATGAGAATGCACTTTGTACCATTAAAGAGCTGCGTGCTCCTTGCTAAGGAGATGTTATTATTTTATCATTATTATTTTTTATATTTTATCATTATTCAAATGAGGTTTCATTTTATGATATGAGACCAAGGGGAATCCTTGCGAGAGACTTTACTACTGTTGGGTAGAAAGGAAAACAAGAAAAAGAAAGAAAAAATATCCTATCCAGACACATGTTCAGGTCTGCTGTAGATCACAAGAAAGGAGTGAAAGTGCAGTTGTTCCACGTAACCACATCTCCGTTCCTGGAGAAAGAGCTCCACATCCTCATGCTGCTGACCATGGGTCAGAAACTGATCGACAGAACACTCAGACAGACATATAATTGCAGTGTGATAATCAATCATTTCCTCCAAACGGCGCTCCTGTTGTCATGTGCATCAGTTAGCAGAATAACAGTTCTCCGAAAACATGTGGAACAAATGTGCAGTCTTAAAAAATATGTCATATTTTATTCAAACTCAAAAGTGTCAGGCTTATTTCATTTTATTCAAAACATGCAAGAATATATATTATTTTTCTGGAAGAAAAATATTCAACTGAAGTCAACATGTTTTGCTTTTCACAAGTTATCATGTGATATATAAATAACCACATCCATCAATAAGCTCAAAATGCAAACGCATAGCAAAAGAAACAAGCTCATCCTCTTTTAATTTTTGGATTTGTAGAGAAGAACAGCATCTTGACTCTGTCAGCGTGCAGATTATGCAGAGCAGGCAACTTGCTAAAGCTCTCTGGGCTCCCAATTAGTCACCCATAAAATGCTAACCATACCAGTCCAACAAGATGCAGTGAGAATTGAACAAAGAATATAAAAGTAAAGCATCTGGTATGCATATATATATGAAAAGAATATACATATTCTTTTCTTTTCTTCTCTGAATTATATAGTACTTATTCTCTTTTTGTATTTAGGTTCTGCAAAACGCCAAGATTTTAATTAGACATTTCTGGAGATTCATAAATAGCCAAGTATGAGTAAGAATTTGGTAGTATCAGTCAAACATGCCTTCGTGTATATTCAAAAATGTTTCATAAGAACATTGAGGATGGTTGGAAGTACTACCATTAACCCTTTCTCTACATCCCCATAATAATAATAATAATAATAATAATAATAATCCCCAATAATAATAAAGTATTATTATTACTTTAATTCAGTCCCTAGTACTACAAATTATGCAGGCAAGCTTCTCGCATTTGGGGAAATCACAGAGATCAGCACACCTATAGTGCAATAGGTAAGCCTCACTCTGAGAAAACCACCTTCAAGATCATGGTACCTCCCCTGCCAGGTAAGTATACCACCCCACTTTAATAAACAGCTCACCTCAAGCCTAGGATAACTGTGAGATTTCTCTTAGACTAAGGAGTAGAGTTGGGTTTATTATTAAATGTTACACAAATACGTGCATGGATGTAAATATGTTTGCTTAGTCAAACTTTGGTACTCAATTTGGACGACATTGGCTGACTCTTATTTGACCTGCTGCATGTCAACTTGGTAATGTAGGGGATTTTTGCAATGTCAAAACACAATGCTTATTCAATATTCTCTGGGCTGCTCTGGGGATTGTAAGAGTTATAAATTTTAGATCTTTGATCTCGAGCCTCCAATTAGTCCCTGGTCCTGGGTGACTTTCTGGTAAAAGGAAGTCTCTCAATTTGGCTTCCTCAGACTAACCACAAAAGAGTGTTTGTGTGATGGAAAAGTATTCCCTGGGTATCTTTCCCTGGAGTTCAACAGGGAGTCTCTGGCCTCATGATATTGATGTGCTCCAAAGATGTCACTTTTCTTATCAGTTAGCCAGAGGGCAGCCCCGCCAGAGCAACAGGAATTGGCCTGGATCAAGCAAGCTGAGCTCCATTGCTGAGGGAAAATGCTGGTAGACATACCTTCTGAAAGGAGGCCCACTGCTTATTTGGCACTGAGTAATTGGGAAGTAAGAGATGTCTGCAATGCAGGACTGCCCTGTCTCATTGACAACATCTCTAACTCACAGAACGAAAAATTAAAAACCAAACAAGCCCCACGATTCCACAAGCATTAATGGTTCTTCACATTCGGCTTCTCTTGCTCTTCACGACGCGGACCTCAGAGCCTGGGCACTCTTTTGTGTGAATTCGCTTTTTCCTTTCCTCTCTGGATGGCAATGCATGGAATGCTCGGTGTAAACAAAGCCAGGGCACGAGGACGGTCCACTTAATTTCCTCAACCTTAGTTTGCTATTCCCTTTCCCTTCGGTCTGGATTTCTCCACGACTGAGGAACTCAGTCAGTGTCACCCCAGAAGGAGTCTCACGGGTTCATGAAGCACAGCTCAAGGAATACTCTCCCCTACAGTTAAACACACACACACACACACACACACACCACACACACACCACACAATGACAGTGGGATAGCCCCATGTAATAATTGAAAGAACATTCAGCTTTTAAAATGAAATCAAACATTTTATGAAACATGAAGGGAATAGAGTTGGGAATATTTTCATACCAGTTAAAAATGAATTAGATATTAGCCAGTGTTCTGAAGAGAAATCATATAAATTCATATTCCCCCCTGCCTCACCCCCCTTGTATTGTGTTTTCAGTCCTTTATTATTGTGTTTTTGTCATTTGTGATACTTTTCTCATATTTTTTTCTAGTAAATTTTGGGATCAACATTCTTATTTCTAATAACCTGAACACTACCTAATGGAAAATGTCAAGCTAAAAGGTATCACTTTAATTTCATATATTTATAACACTCAAAATGAACATTTAACTAAAATATACCACTAGTTGC